CATGGACTTATGGTTATGTATTGGAACCCAATTATTAATTGGGTGTTATTTTGATGTTGATAGTTCGGGAACCTGTCATTCAGTAGTTGGGGCTGGGTCTGCGGGAAAGGCCACAATGTCGGCTCACTAGTAGGAGATATTTGTTAGATGATTGTCTTTGTGATAATTGTCTGGTTTGCCACTATCTGATATGCTTGATGTGCTAGGATGCTCTGTTATATATATGCTAGTAGTAGTAGGGGTGAAATAGTCCCCGGATACCGGTTGAAAGATACCGAAGGGGTAGTCAGAAACCATGCATGCCTAGCAGTACGTATGTTATGTTATTATGTGGTAGTGGTATGGGCTGAAATAGTCCCCGGTTACCGGTTGAAAGATACCGAAGGGGAGGCCAGCTCCCGGTTACCGGTTGAAAAATACCGAAGGGGAGGCCAGCTCCCGGTTACCGGTTGAAAGATACCGAAGGGATAGGTTGGGCACCCAAATATGTCTGACCATATATTTATGTATGTTATGCTAGGTTATTATGTGGTAGTGATACGGGGAACAGTCCCCGGATACCGGTTGAAAGATACCGAAGGGGTAGGCCAGCACCCGGATATGTTTGGCAGTATATGTGTTGTATGGTATGTGGTATGATGGGGGAACTCACTAAGCTTCGTGCTTACGATTTTCAGTTTTGGTTTCAGATACTTCGTTTTCAAGGAAAGGAGTCGGCTCGATCGCAGCGCATCACACCATGTTTTCCGCACACGAGATCTTTGGTATTACACTCTGATATGGTTTTATGATACTATGTTTTGATTATTGACACTTTGATTTTGACATGAGATATTATTATGAATGTTTTTATACTGATGGTTTTATGTAATAACTTAATTAAAATGAAATTTTTGGTCTTGAATTTTGGGATGTTACACTAATAGTGCTGCGAAAACAACACTTAGTAATGTTTGTAGCAAATCGATCGTACCAAGCGCGGGGTGCCTGTTTCAAACCATATAGAGATTTTTTAAGGAGGCATACATGATTAGGATGGTGTGGATCGTGAAGTCGGGTGGTTGAAACATATAGACCGTCTCATGGAGGTCCCCGTGAAGGAAAGCGTTTTTCACATCAAGTTGGTGAATCGGCCAACCGCAAGATACGGCTAAGCTCAAAACTGTTCGTATAGTGGTTGGTTTGACAACTGGGCTAAAAGTCTCGTCACAATCTATTCCAACCTGTTGACTTTTTCCATTAACAACCAATCGAGCTTTGTAACGTTGTAAAGTGCAATTTGCATTGAACTTATGGCGAAATAACCACATGCAACGGATGACATTAGTATCCGGTGGTCGGGGTACTAAGACCCAAGTTTTATTATCCGTCAAGGGTCGAAATTCATCGGACATTGCTGCGTTCCAATTTGGATCGGACATGGCTTTAAGGTGGGAGGTGGGGAGGGGGGAAGCGGGTAAGGATGAGGTGACAGAAAGGTTAAAGGGAAGCTTGGGTTTAATTGTTCCCACTTCAGATCGAGTGGTCATGGAGTGGGATGGGGCGAGAGCGGAAGGAGGTGGGTTTAAATCATGATCACTGGAATTTAGCGGTTGTGGGTTTAAATCATGATCACTGGAATTTAGCGGTGGAGAGGGAGGAGTGGGGGTTGGAAAGGGATGGGTAGAGGTTTGGCGTTGTCCTGGTAGGTAATGGGAGTCCGAGGAGGGATAGTGGGCGAGGGAGGAGAAGAGGATGGGGAGTTATTTGAGGAAGTAGGTGGGGATGGGGTGGTGTGGGGTTGAAATAGCAGAGGGGACTCATCTGAGTCAAGAAAAGAGTAGTTGTGGCTATTATTGGGTCACAAGATAAGAAATTCGCTGAGGGATGGTGTGAAGAGGGATGACCAGGGCTGCTATAGGGGCTGCTGTTTGGTTCCATTGTATGCTGGTCCAGACCAAGAGGAAGACCAACCCGGTTGTGTTGGGTATGCGCACAGTGGGGGCACCCACCATGGTGGCCAAAAGTTTTGTGGTCTAGGTGGAACATGCCATGGAGCATGGGAACGAGAAGCACCACGAGAGGAACCTGGAGCAGGTTTATTGGAAGAGGTGCGATGAAGACCTGATGAAGGACCAGAAGTGTTTGACCTGCGGTTTGGTTGCTGGGTCTGGCCCCGACCATTAAATCTCCAGTTACCACCATTCAGATTTGGCTGAGATGCGACAGCTAAGGCAGCAGAGGGGGACAAAGTCTCCCAGGCAGATTGGCGGTGGTGTTCCAGTTGCAACATACTACAAGCTGATTCCCAAGAGGGAAGAGTTTGATTGATGTATGAGGCACCAGTTTCATATTCTGAGGGTAAGCCACGAACAAGCTATAAGACTAACCTTTGTTCATTAACAGGGCTGTCCACATCATTAAGTTGATCTGCAAGTTCCTTAAGCTTTTGACAGTAAGATTCAAGAGATGGCATGGACTTGAGGGTAAGGTTATTGAACTCGTACTCAAGAGCAGCTGCTCTTGCACCTTTGTTGTTAAGGAAAATGGTCTGGATGCGGAGCCAGGCTTGATGGGCAGTGGAGTCAGTAACAAGAACACGCATGAGAATATCATCAGATAATGTGCCATAGATCCACTGCAAAAACAATGGCTTCAATCTCAGCCCATTCTTCATAACCAGGATCTTTTATTTTTGGTGGAGTAGTACCATCAATATGAGATGTAACTCTATAGCCCTTGGCATGAAGTTGAAAGAGACGAACCCAAGAAGAGTATGAAACCTTAACACCATCTAGTACCCTGACCTTATTCTGAATGTTGGTCAGGGGTATAGACAGGGTGGATTGCTTTAGGATTAGAAGAAGATGCAGATTTGTCTTCTGTCATTGAAAAAAAAAATTGCCGGAAAAGTAGGATAGACAAAAGAGGACTGAAGAGAGTATTACTGTTCACAGAAGACACAGGTCGGTGGCAGAAGTCAAGCCGTGGCTTGGTGGCGGCGAGATTAGGGCAAGAGATGATCGATACAGAGTCGTGGCTCTGGGCTCTGATACCATGTAAACTCTTTAGAAAAGGTCAAAGATTTTATTGATAGGAATACTGAATATATACAACAGAAATCTATAAAATAGGAAACAACTATTCTGATCTAGGATACAACAGAATATTATTATATAAATAATATATACAGCTAATAGGAAGGTGTTCCAAGGAGATGAATGTCCCAAATGGTTGATTGATCCTGGAAAGAAAATTGCAAAAAACTATCATAGATTGCTGCTTTCTATGGTTGTGATGGTAGGAGTTCTAGCAAAAGAACCAAGGACTAAAGATTTGTGGGTAAAAATTTCTTGCAGTGTCCATTCGTACATTGCTAGTGACGAGAAACGATGTCTGGAAACAATAGCATTAAGTTACCACCATCTGCCTCTTCACTTGAGAGAGTGCTTTCTCTATCTGGGAGGATTTTCAGAAGACTTTCGGATGTATTCACCATGGTTGCTTTGGTTATGGGAAGCTGATGGATTTATACAAGGAGATGGAAGTCGAAGCTTGGAGAAAATTGCTAATGGTCACCTGGTGGATCTTGTTGACAGAAATCTTCTTATTGTAGAAAAATGTAATCTTATCGGTGATGTCCTTTGTTGTGAAGTCCATGTTCTTGTGAGGCAGGTATGTGTGGAAAAAGGAAAAGAAGAAAGATTCTTCTTGAAAATAGACTCACTACCATCTAATCATCTATGTAAGGTAATGACCACACATAAGCAACGCCGTGTGGTCATAAATCCAGAAATCGACAGTATGAGTTTGCCTAGTCCGCCCACCCCAAGTATTCGATCACTTTTGTGCAATCATGTGGACACAACCTTAACTAACAATATCTCAAAGTTTTTTTGTTCCTTTGCACTTCTTAGGGTATTAGATCTAGAAAAATGTGAAATGATTGATTTTCCCCCTATTTAGCATTACTAGTTCACTTAAGGTACCTTGACATTTGTCTGTCATCATTACCACCATCAATATGCAATTTATGGAATCTTCAAACCCTCATTGTTAGCACAAGGTCTAGTTCTATGGTTTTACCTAGTAACATATCAAATTTGGTGAATCTGAGGTATTTACACTGTAACATAGATCTTTATCTTCCTTCTATTGGAAAACCGATGAAATTGGAATATATTTCAGATGTGGTGTTGGGAGATGGGGTAGATAATTTTCAGAAATGTTTTCCCATGATCAGGGAACTTTCAACTACTCTTTACTTTGACGAGGAAAGTGATTTTGAAGTACTTCATCACCTTCAAATCTTGATGTTAATTGGGTCAGGTTACAACAGAAGGAGATCAGTTGAGCGAGAATTTGTGAGAGGTGAACCGAACTTGGGAAAGAATCACATTATTAGGTTCCCAGCAACATTGAAAGAACTTACTCTTGAAAGGTGTGGTCTACCATGGAGCGACATGTCCATCATTCAATCGTTGCCTAATCTTGAGGTTCTTCCAATAAAAGGCAATGGATTTGAGGGAACCCAGTGGGAAACAGATGATGAGCAGTTTCAACGACTAAAATTCTTGAGACTTAAAAAGTTAAATACCAGACAGTGGGAAGCCTCAAGTATCAACTTTCCATGTCTCGAACGATTAGAGGTGTTGAATTGCATTGATCTTGAAGAGATACCCCTTGAATTAGGGGACATCTCAACGCTTGAACGTATTCACATTGAGAATTGTGGTGCTTCTCTTCTCGTATCCTTTCGAAAAATACGACAGGAGCAAGATGATGTGGGAAACTATGAACTAAACATCAAAGTTGATGGAAGGTATATGCCTTCTTATATACCCCAGCATGACGATTAATACATTTTACTTGTGGAGTAGGCAACTAACAGCATTAATGTTTAGTACATAATTAGTTGGTGTATTTGCTACCTAGATGTTTGTTGATTTTCTTTACCCAAAATCTGTTAGTGTTCAATTTGATATTTTTTTTTTTTTTTGGCTGATGTATTAATATTAAGAAAACTAGCAAACAGCTAGATAATTACATAACAAGAGTTTGAAAAGAAAAATTTTTCACCCAATCTACCCACTTAACACAACTTTGGATTCCTAACACTAATCCTAAAAAACAACCATGATTGAATTGAATCCCAAAGCAACGCCTTGAGGGGTTTGTGATGGCTAAACAACAATCTATTCTGAAAAGACCAAATCAACAATAACATAGTCAAGCAAGCTACATCCAAAGTCCAAACATTTCATTGCTTTGTCAGGCATCCGAGCTTGATCAACCCAAGACAACAACTCCGATATAGACGGGAAAACAGGTAAATCCAATTCCCCCCATCTCGCAAAAGGGCCCGCAAATCCGATGCCATGCCACAGGAAAAGAAAATGTGACTAACTGTCTCAATATCAAGATCACATATGGGGCACATGAGCGAACCAATATCAATCCCTCTCCTATCCAGATTCACTTTAGAAGGGATTTAATTCAAAGTCAACCGCCAAAATAACACATTAACCTTGGATGGTACAAAGCGATTCCACCTAGTAGGAACTGTGGCAACCTCAAATATTTTGGAATCAATAAGAGATCTTGCCGAAGCCACAGTAAAACCCGAAGACACACCAAACCCAAGTATCATGTTGGGAAACAAGATTAACCTGATTGGTAATAGCCCTCAAAGCCGAGAACTGAAGAGCCTCCACACCTCCTCTCGGAGGTCTTCTAAAAGCTGAGAGCCAATCCAAACACCGCAACCGGTCCACAACTTTACAAATCTTATCTTCATCTAAAGCATAAATCCTAGGAAATTGAACTTTAAAACTTTGAACCCCACACTAAATGTCATCCCAAAAAGAGGTCTTGGCACCATCCCCCACCTTACGGATACACAAAGAAAGTAAATCAGTACCTTTCTCCGAAAGGTTTTTGGTAGCATTAAGACATTTTAATAAAGTAGAATATAAAAAAGAAGATACATTACATACATAAGTTTTTTTTAATAAAAATCCAAATCTTGCCCTTGTTTCCTTCACCACAAAGAAATTTCATTTATGATGATGGATTTGGGTCGTCACCAACCAATTATATACTTTATCATCCTCCACCCACTACCCAACCAGCCACCTCCACCAGAACCCTGGAATTTGCAAACTTGCATCATAAAACACAAAATATAGCAATGTGCTTCCATCTATTTGTGTATTATAGCATCCTACTTCATATATCTCATTGTTCATTAAACACAAACTTTCATATATTTCTATTTTACTATTTTAGTTTACAAAAGTTTCTCATTCAGGCATTGTACTTAGAAAAATATCCCCAATTAATTATAGCATTCTATGTTAAGATAATGTACTTTGGAAAAATCTAACCCACTATAGCATTGTACTGTGAACTTTTTTCTTATTAATGCATTTTTCTTTGAAAAATCTATCCAATTATAGCACTGTAATTCTAATGTTATCTTATTAAGACATTGCATTTTCAAAAATCTACACAAGTATGGCATTATACTTTCATTTTTTTCTTATTAAAAAATCCATCCAATTATAGCATTGTACTTTGATCTTTTTGCTAATTAAGGCGTTTTACTTTGAAAGGTCTACCCAATTATAGCATTGTACTTTCTATTTTTTCTTAATTAGGAATTGTTATGAAGAAAATCTACCCAATATAGCATTGTACTTTCAATGTTTTCTTACTGTAGTTGTATACTGTAGATCTAGAACACAAGAATTAGGGCACAAACTACTTGATTACAAACTAACTGCCATTCGAGAGGACAGGCTCTCCAAAGGAAATGAGTTTCCCAAACAATCAAAAAGATAACTTCCGACCAACCTCACCACTATTTATACTGTTGCAACAGACAAGGGACAGAAAATGACAAAAAATGCCCTTAGGCCTGTTAACACTTATTCTATATTCAGGAAATACTCTTAAACTAGTCATCACTAAATCTTTGACCTTCTTGTGTAAGTAAACCTCAGGGGACATTTACCATGCAGTTTGAAAAAAAAATACTTGGTTATAGTATTGCACTTTGAAATTTTCTTATTAACGCATTGTACTTTGAAAATTTAATCCAATTATAGCATTGTACTTTGAAAATGCAAATTTTTATTTCTAGAATTTAACCTAGTATACAGATCAACCATCTATTTTCGATAAGAACAAGTAACCATGAACAAAGTTCAGGCTTTAGGGAAACAGACAAATTGAAAAATAAAGACGACTTATTTAAATTGAATGAAGAGACTCTTTATGATGTGTTTCTTAGTAGGCAGACCAAAAGAATAAAGGAAATAAAGGAAATTTACAAAGAGGTAATGGAAATTCATACATAAGAACTTAAGTTTGAAGGTACAGATAAATGATTAATTTAGTATATTAGCCCTTACATCTGGAATAGTTTCTCATAAAACAATAATCAGCCTTTGAGACTATCTTATACACAAACTACCTGTTAATAAACTTCAATTCCGTGAGTTGCTTGAAGATCAACCTAACCATAGGAAAGCAGAAACGAAAATTATAGTATTTCAAAGAAGCAAAAACGATTTTACACAAACTAATCGTTGATAATTAGAGGAATTGAAGCAATTACTAAAAGAAGCCAAAGACAAATATTGAACAGCTCAATTCATCCTGTTCACTCATAACATCAAACAGTGAGTTATTCCATAAATTCGTACCAAATTGAACTACAAAAGCGTTGAATTATGCTAAAATTTAACAAAGAAAACGAAATTCGTACCAAATTCTGAGAAAAAAGGCCGTTGATAGTGGTGGTCGGTTATGGCGAGCAACCGGATGAACTTCAGTGTAGTAATACTAGGGCTAGAGGTAACGGTAACTTCAGAGATTTACTTTGTTTGGTTGGTAACTTCAGTTTTGGGCTTATAAATTGGGCTCACATTATATACGACGTTTCTGACTTAGTTATATAAAAACTATAATTTTATATAATTTTATGTATAAATATGTATTAGTTATATAAAAACCGTATTTTATATTAAATATGCAACTTTAAAATGAGTTTGGAGGTTTGGAGGTGTGTAGTCGATCAAAATCCGGATATCAAGTTTGCAACCAATGAAATTTTTACATCTTATTATAAGCTTATGGTTAGTTTGATTCTCATGATATAACTAATGCATATTTATACATTATGCTTTGAATGTAAAATCAAAAAAAAAAAAAAAAAAAAAAAAAAAAAAAAAAAAAAAAAACACATTGTATTTAAATAAAAATTTGGTTTTTAAACATAAAAAATATATTTATAAGGTTTCAAATGGAAAATGGTCAAAATTGAACAAAATTTGATAAATGATGTTCGATTTGGAACAAAAAAAACATAGTGTCAAAATTGAAAGAAAAAATTAAATTTAGTGTCAAAATCGAAAAAAATGAAAACTTAGTGTTTTTTTGTGGAAAAAATTCAATTTTGGCACGTCAGCATTTCATGTCAGCATGTCACGTCATCATAAACTGACACGTCATCATGCCACGTCAGCATGTAACATGGTTGACCGGTCAAGTGGTCAGAACTGTAACAAATTGAAAAACACAGTGTCAAATTTGAGACAAAAAAAACACAGTGTCAATATGAATTTTGGTTTAAAGTGAATGTCTTTTGTACTATTTACCTCAATAAATAACAAAGTTATCACCTTATCGGTCCTTATACAATACGGGATTCTCTGTATTTTATTCTCGTATTAGATTAGTGTTATTTAAATAGTTATATATTTTAGTCCAGTCACCAATCCATTCAATACCATATATACAACCCAATAGCTCAGGCACAAATCTCAATCAGTAAGTATATTTTTATATGTATATTATTGTTAGTATATGATGTCACTATGACCTTACCAAAAAAAAAGGTTCCTAATGTTTTTTTTAGTATAAGAGATCAAAGTCCATTTTACCATGTTAAAAACGTCATCTCTAAATATTATTAAAAGAGAACCATTAATTCACCAATGAAGCAATCAGGGCCCTTGATTTTGTTTTAATCATATATTTTCCACCATTAGATCAAACTGCTGACATCATCTTCCCCAAATAAAATTCTAACATAATTACCTTTAATTATAGAATCTGTAATAATTATAGAATCTTTAAATTCAATAATTATTTTATCAATTGAAACATATCTATCTATTTATATACATGATATCAATTTCTCTAATTAATATTGTTCCTAATTTAACTCCCTTATTTATAGCTTTTGATTTCCAAATTCAAACTCGTTTATATTTTATATTTTATTTATTTAAAAAAACTAATTAAACAAGAATATCAATAATTAAGTTATTAACCTATAAAATCTAATATAATTAAGAGTCAAAATTAAAGTCAATATTATTCATAATTTATCTCTCAGTATATCACACATAAAATGAATCAATTTGAGAGTATTGTTTGAATTTTAAAACTGATTAAATAAGAAAGTCAGTTAATTTGAAGTTTTGAATTAATATAGTTGATATTTTTTTTTTCCAAATGAATAGACGAAAATCTGCAAGATGATATCTTAGGATCCCAATTTTTTTAGAAGATAATGATTTCCTTCTTCAAAAAC